AAGGATATCCCAGATTAAACCTCTAAGAATTTTTTAATTGTTTCACACAAACCTTTTAATTTTGTTAGCTGAGGAAAGCGATTTGGTTTACATTCAAATAAAATATATAGAAAACGTGTGTATCTTTGCATCCCCAAGTGCTGCTTATTCTGGGTAAATCTAGTCAGTTTTCTTTTTACCTTTCCATCTTTATGGGTTTTGGTTGAGTGTTTTTTTTGGTGTGTGTTTGTGTTTTTTTTGGTTGGTTGAGTTTTTTTTTACTATCTACCCAAAAAGAATTTTATATATGATTGGAAGAGTCTAGAGTCTAAACAAATACTTGGGGAGGGATTGTGGGTGGGGGAAGAGGTTACCAATGTCTGAGTGGTTACGTTACCTGAAACTGTATACTATATTTAGAGTCATGTCCTAATGTCTTTTACCAGCAGGCACAGAGGAATAGGTTTCTACGTGTATTTGAGAAGATGTGAGTCAGGATTTTTGGTGTCTGTTTTCCATAGTAGGAAGAGAAATAAAATTGTAGGAAAAGTATCTTTGGGTGTATTTTGTATGCAATATGGGTTATATCTCTTTTTCATTAGCACAAAAAAGAAGACATTTTTAAAATTGAACTACTAAAGTAATGGGGTTTTTAAAAAATTTGTGTTCATAAGTTCTTTGATAGCAAGAATAATAATGAGCCAAAGAAGAGGTCACAGTTTACATAGTAAGATACTTGGATCTTACTGGTAAGCAAGATCAATCTACTTTTTACTGTTGTTGTTGATGCCATTGGCCAGTTCTGCTAAAATGTGTTTATCTAGATATGTTCTTAAGCTGAAATGGCAGTGTACTTCATGGCTGAGTGTGCCTACACAGCTTGTTGCATAACTACGGCTGTATTTTATTGTTTTGAGTCTTACAAGTAATTTGGGTTTCCTTGTGGCTTAAAGAAAGAAGCTTACTATTCCAAATGTTTCTAGCAATTTCAATTTCTTCTAGACATATTTTATTTTTTTTTTTAAAGAAAAAAGAAAAAAAGCTTTTGTGATAAGCCTGTAATTGAAATGCCAGAACTTTCTGGCAGAACTAAAGCATCAAATAAATAGAATTGCTGTGTGATGAAGAATACTATCTGTAGACTATATCTAAACTGTAGGATCAAGCAACTTCTTGTAGCTTCCGTTTTCATACGTATGTCCTGGTGACTTCTGGACTTCTATGAGGGAAAAACAGTGAAGCACCCAAGTTACGAGGGAGATCTGTTGCCATCTAGACAAGTTCACGATCTGGATAATTAGAGTAAGAGAACTGTAGGGAGCATCAGGAGAGGACACTTGCTTCAGACAAGCAAAACAAATGTGTTTCAGTTTTGTGTATGTGTAATGGGATGGTATCTTATTTTAGCTGTCTATGGTTTTCCCATTTAGTCTAGAAGTTACTTCAGAGCAGAATAGATCAGTCTCTAAGTGACTGCAGGACAGCTACAGCAATAGAATCCCAGCCTTCACTGGGGTTCCTCTGACACTACTGTCATAGAAATGATTGCATTTTTGCATAGATCTAAACTTAATTCGAACTTATACTGCAAATTTAAAACCTGTAGTACTGTACTCCTAGTTTAAGTGTTATTACCTATGTATTTTTTTCTAGCTCTGAGAAAAACAGCAGAATTTCTGCTTTGTTCTTCAGTTGCAATTTTCAGCTTTTAATTTCTGCAGAATCATGGTTTAATAGTGTTTTTAAACTGTCGTTTAAAAAAAAAGTGTCTTAGAGGCCTGAAGTTTCAAAAGGGAAGCCTAAAACTAGAGGAGTGAGGTAATGTAGAACTGGCCAACTTTATTTGACTTGCATATATATACACATGAAAATGCCCATTATATTGATTGCAAAGGCCATAAAATTGCATTCTTGGGGCGGGGGGGGGAGGGAAAAGAGAAATTATTATTGTCAGCTTGTCAAGTCTTGCAGTATTTTGTTTTTTGTCTCATGCAATTCACTTTTAATGTGAAAACTAGTTCCACTGAAAATGTATATTTGCATAATTTGCATAGAGTTGCCTTAACACAAAAAAGAAAATGCAAATCAACTTTGTTTAAACTTAGCAAAAATTATGTAGGTATCCTTTTTCGCTACGAAAACTTCATGAATGTTATAACTCATAGTTTTACTCAATTTAGGATAGTAGTAAACTGTGTCTTTGATAAAGCTGTGGTTTGTGCATGAAGCAAGAGGAGCCTGTTGTGAAAAATAAGTAGATTGATGGTTGGCTATCTTAGCCAACTTTACTCGTTGTTGTAAAGGTATTTAGCAATGCTTTCCCACAGCATGCATTTCAAAAAAAAAGATTGCTTCACTCTGTTCTGTAGGTAGTCTTATGTCTGTCTGTTGTAGAAGAATTTATTATTCTTTGTAGGACAGTGTACTTCACCTGGGATACACTTCTGCTGAGTCATTAGTCCTCACTTATTAGCTGAGTGGTTCCTCCTGTTACAAAGTTGTGGGGTTTTTGGCCTCTCTGGGCCTTTCAGAGATCTAAATAATACTTAAGGGCTAGTGGCAGAAGGTCATTAAAACTCTGATTTTGTGTTTACTTTGGATGGGTAGTTTCACCTATGATGAGCTTCACTGTCATTAAGGGGAAGAATGAATCACTCCTGTAAGACTGCTTAAACTTAAAACTTTGGTTTTGATATCTCTTTTATAAAAATGGGTTTTCTCCTGGCCTTAAGGACTTGAAGAGGAAGGAAGAGTTGTAAGATAGAACTTATATTGCATTTTAAAAAGGCCAATTTTCTTAAATCTTCAGCAGTGTACATTCAGTCTTGTAATGTGCATGTCTGTTGAGTTTAGTTTCAAAGCATGTTATTTGGCATGTATAAGGAGAGTATTTGGGTAATACAGCAGGAAAATACAGAAGTGAATTAAATGCTATCTGGGAATAATTTGTATATAGAATTCCATAGCTCTTATGTAATTCATTCAAGCACCACAATCAAGACCAGTTTCCCCTGATACTTTTTTCCCTCCAGGATGAACCAGGGAAGTGTGTGTTAAATGCTAGTTTTGAGCGATTTGCTCTGCTATGTTTAGTTAGATTTCCAAAGACTGATACGTTCAACCTGTCATTCTCTGGTAGTGTCTGAAACCAACTTTTTGATAACAACTTTGAAAGAAAAATTCCATGAGAGTACTTGGCTGGAAAACAGATTTGCATCATTGATAGTGTAGTGTGAAGTCAGCAAGAAATTCATGCAAAGGGGAGATCTTCTTACTGGTCTTACTGCAGAAAGGCTCTCCCTAGAGCTAACCATAGGTAAAGCAGGTGAAACATGGTGAAGATGAGCTCGACACCTCTGCAGAACAAATTGTTTTTCTGTGTTTGAGTGAACACATAAGCTAATGGCTCTTCACCATATTTGTCTGTATCAGAGAAAACTGTATATTGATGAAAATTAGTCACTTGCGTATGTAAATGTAAGAAAAGCAGGTTGGTTTTGTTGGTGTTCAGAAAAACAGGCCTCTCCATTCTGCTTACATGTCACAGCAACTATTTATTAATATTCTGTTAATTTAAACCAGCTAGATTTTACTGCAGTATACAATTTTTTTTTTTTTTTTTTTTTTTTTTTTTTTAAATCGTGTTCAGTGGTTGACCAGATTTTCTGTCTTGGTTTTCTTTCTGTTTGGTTTTGGAGTATACTAGTTACAGTTGCATGCAGTTACTGAGGGAGCACTTGAGTAGTAAAAGACAGATTTTATTATAAACTTCTTCCAGTAGTATTAAAACCATAATGGTAAAAAAAAAAAAAAAAAAAAAAAACAAATAGGTTAAGATGAAAGTCTAATGTAGTAATACAAAGGAGGTGGTAGCAGATATCTTCTGCTTTTCCCAAGAAAGGCTGGACTGATGATCCCTGAGGTCCCCTCCAACCTGGTATTCTGTGATTATGTGGCCCAGTTAGGTTACTCAATACACATTTTTAGTGCTATATTATCTGCCAAAATAATTTGCATTACTGAAACCTGTTGAATTGTTTAATGTTTATTGCATGATGGAAGTAGTAGTTATGTAATTGTATCACTTCTGGAAATAAACCACGAATTCACTTTGTTTTAGCTGTCTTCTTCCTTTAAACAGAATTTACAAGCCCGTAGACTAAAAATTTGCAAAAATTCTTTGTTCTCTTTTGGCCCACAACTGAAATTTAAGGGTCTGATCTAGAGTTTACTGAGACCAAAGAAGTGCTCCACTGAGTGTGGGCTTTTGGGTATGTCTAACAAACAGTAAGATTCTCGAGTTGGATCAGGTAAAAAAGATGTAGGATTGTCATAATACATTTTTACGTAGACTGTCAAGAGTAAAATTTGGGAAAGGTTTTTGCTTTGCGATAGCTGTCTGAATATCTAGAATCTTCATAGCAAACCAAATTTTGACTACGTTATCTTTGTTCCTTTGGAAGTTTGGACTGCAGATATTTTTTTTGTGTAGCTTACAGAAAGAAAGTGTCTGGTGTTTTGGTCTTAGAACGCTTTATTGATTTGCAGAAATCTGTTCCATGTTAGGTCTGATTTAAGATTGACTATTTTTTTTCTTGTTCTAATGTTGAGTAATCTCTTCATAGATATAGTGTAGTTTGTGTACTCGAAATTAAGAAGCTGGTTTACATCTATAAGTTTAGCACCATATATAAGTGAAATTTTATTTTTATACTTGAAACAAGATGTGAATTCAAACAGTTGTGTTGTGTTCTTTGACCTGCTTGAGAGTTTGTGTTCTTATGTAAACATACAATGCAATTCATAACTGCCAATAATTTTTCAAAGTCCCCAAATATTCTAAAAATAACTAAAAAAAAAAAAAAGGCTGAAATTGTTAATTATCATCAACTTCAGTGTTAATTTTTTTCCTGGAATTTAATAGCAATTTACAGTAAGCAAATATTTCTCTTCTAGCTGTTGCATCAGTAAGTAACCCAGGAAATTACACTTCACTTTCTGATTTGTTTTTCCTATTACAGGCGAGCTCAAATCTCTTGCTTCCTGCGCCATCATCACTGTCACCACACTCCAAGCTAAGACTGCCAAGCACTCTGAGCCCTCCACTGAATCCTCTGTATTCTTTCACTACTAAAAGTGGTAAGTTTCTTTATTTTTCTTCACTCATTGTAGGGAATGGGTAATAACTTCCATGAGGATTTTGTTTTTCTGTCTTTATAAGTCTTGCTATGCAGCTCTTTCAGGGCGTGTCCTGGTTGTTACATGTTATACTGTTTGTAAAGTACAGTCCGGTAGTGGTATATGTTCCCTTATAATGCTTTTTTTCTTTAAACTATACACTTGTTTATTAGTGCTGTAGTTTCCCAGAACAGTGTGAGATTGCCAGCTTTTCCTAATTTAATATTTTGATAATAGTGAAGTATCTTGAACAGAGACACTGAAAAACAATAAAATAATGTCTTTAAAAGCATTTGTACTGATTTAAGAAGGCAGTAAGAAGAAAAGCAGCTTACATAAGAACCATAGTGTTTGGTAGCCTATTTGCAGTTGTCTTTAATCTGTTTTTAAGGGTTTGTTTCTAAAGACATTTTGTATTCAAGGATTTTGAGAAAAAGGTAAGAAGTGAAATGATGCATTTTTTTTGTGATGCTTTCACTAATAAGATCTGTTGCATTGCTAATCACAGTATTTAATAATAAAATTTATAATTTCACGCCTTTTTCTCTTTCTTGGGCACCTACAAAATAAGACAGAAAATTAGAACTTAATTTTGAAATGGTTTTGTTTTGTACCTTAAGAAGAAGAAGTCCAAGGGGAAGGTGGGATACATAATGAACTAAAAACAGTTAATAGAGATATAAAATGCAGATAGTAAAGATAGGAATAGTCTCTATAATTGCATAGCATTATCTCCTAAAGGCAGACAATTTTCTTTGTGAATCAAGTTACAATTACTTTGAGTGGTGGGGGTAGGCATGCTTAGCATGGACTGAAAGATCAACCAGTGCTCTCAGAATGGCTGTTAGTCACTAATTCACAATGCAAATGGCTATACACCAATTAACTTCTGTATTTCCATTTTCCACCTTAATAAAAGAGCTTATAGTTACAATAATAATCTATCGCACCACTGGTGGTTATTGTTTCCCAAGTGTGTAAATCTTAATACATATGCTGTCTTACATTTTGCAAATATTTAAAATAAGTGGAGTAACCCTGTGAAGAACATTAACATATACTTCAAGTTGTTTTAAAGTGCTATACCTAATATTGCTCAAACAGTACATTTTATTGTCCTGAATTTTGCTTTATGCAGAAGCACAGATAAATGTGTGAATGGAGAATTCTTAAACAGCATGAACAAACACAGATATATGTTAGAGCCGCTTACATGCGCTTGCAAGGTAGTAATTTCCAAAACTGACTGCTACTTTAAGGTGATCCCCAGGCACAGGATTTTAGTAGTGCAAGGGAAGTATAGTAAAAAAGAGGTACTTTTTAATGATCTGTCAGCAGACAGTGATAGCAATGAGCAAATGACCGTTTTTAGGGGAAAAAGACCATAAAAATGCTAGTGGACCACAACTGAAATAGAATTGCCTGTAAGAAAATATTTTAAACCCCTAAATTACATCTCTTTCATTTGAGGGGCCTCCATGTTGTTTGTCTGTGATGAAGTTGTTTTAAGGGAAACACACAAGAAACATTTACTCATCTATTTACTCTTTCGCCATTGGTTACAAAGTGTGAAGACAAGTGCTTATGTTTATAGATCCTAACTGCCAGTTTAATTTTACTTCAGAATAATAAAATCTACTGTATTTAAACCGATCTGGTTTTTTATGGTTTGTGCGGGAAGAACAAACAGTTTGGTTGATTTGGTTTTTTTTTTCTGTGGGGGTTTGAAATACATAGTATTTCTGCTTTCCTGTACTTATGTTATTGGGATGTCGCATTGTTAACAACTGTGTGTGTTACAGAGATCTTTCCTTTTTGTCCCGCAGGCTGTTATGTGTTCCGGAGGGCTAGGTTGACCATTATTCAGTCTTCTCATTCTCACACTTCCCTGTCACCGTTTGTTGTTGTATTTAGTGCTGCTTAAAGCAAAATGCAAAATTCCCATTACAGTGAAGTCCCTACAGGCAGCATGTGTAAAGCTCTCTTAGCAATCATTTTAACCATGTAACTGGTGTATGTGCATACTGCATTAAATTGATAAGGTTGTAGTGGATGCTTTGTGATATGGATGGTATAGTAGTCTGGATACATGCTACACTTTCTTCTTTTAACAAGACAATTAATTATCTAGGTCTTGGTTGGGTAGGAAATAGTGGGAAAATTGGGTATCCACCTTTATGATTTATGGGCATTACAGTAGTACTGCAGATCTTTCCTGGCTTTTAAATCTTAGTGTATCCAGGTATATTTGCAGAAATAGCTGTAATTGATTTTGTAGTATTTCAAATAAATGTGATATTCGCTACTATGCCTTTTAAATATGCCTGTTCATTTTAACAGATGGGTTCTGTGTAGTCTCAAATATAAGTTTTGGCGTTTCTTCAAGTGCATACTTTCACATGTATACAGGCTTTCATGAAGGCCCAGTCTTTGTTCTGCTATTTACCTTGCTCACTTCCCTCAAGAGGAGTTATCTCATGGTCACTGAGGCAGTTCTACCTCGTTCATTATTAGCATGCTCAAGGGTGCAGCCCCATTAGTCAGCCTGTCTATCACCTGCATGAAAAAGTTGTCCCAAGTGCATTCCAGAAGTCTGAACTGCTTGTAGCGTGTGTTTTTTGTCTCTGGAGCAGATACTGAGGTGGTTAAAAATCTCCATTAGAGTCAGGGCCTGTGATTTAGAGACTTCTTGCTCTGTTTAAAGAAGTCTTTATCCACTTCCTCTTCTCGATCAGGCAGTCTGTACCAGGTGCCCCCCACATTGTCTGTGGTTTTAGTCTCTTTTCCAGTTCTGACCCATATGCTCCTGGCAAACCTGTCCCCAGATCTGTAGCTCTGTGCATTTGAGCCTCTTCTCCCTTCCCTACAGCACTCTCTATTCTTGTCTTCTCTTTCAGTCTTTCCAAGAGCCTGTGTCTACAGTCTCTTGTAACACTGCAATCAAACTGTAAGAAACATAAATATAAAAATGTATTTTATGTGGAGGAAAAATTCATTAAAGGCTGAAAATACAGTTCAAAGCCATTTATCATTCTGCTATAGCCCCTTCCCTCAGCAACAGTGTAGTTGCTGTAACTTCTCTTTGTAAACTAATATCACATCCTTCCTTGTCTCCTTAAAGAGTTTCTTCAATTACAGGTTATTTTATCCCGATGTTGAGTTTTACATGTGGTGCTTAGATATCCTGACTTTGTTCTAAATTAAATAATTCATTGTTTAATCATCAGATAGAGAGCTTCAGCAGCTTTGTCAAGCACAGAGCATTCTTGTACAGAGTATCACCAAGGCAGGCACCTCTGGAGACCATGTAGCCCAACTGTTATATGCAAAGCAGGTTTACCTAGACGAGGCTGCTCAGGATCATGTCCAGTTGGGTTTTGAGTATCTTTAAGGATGGAGACATCACAACATCTCTGGACAACCTATTACAGTATTTGACAGTTCTCGGAGTTTAGGAGGTTTTTTTTTATGATTAAATGGTATTTTGTCTATTTCAGTCTGCATTGGTGCATGGGATTGTTCTTCCCCAAACACAGGACTTTGCATTTCCCTTTGATCTTCATGAGGTTCTTGTTGGCCCATTCCTGCAGCCTGTCAAGGTCCCTCTGAATGGCAGCATGTCCTTCTGGTGCATCAGCCACACCTCACAGATTTTTATCATCTGCAGACTTGCTGAGGGTGTGCTCAGTCCAATCATCAAGATCATTAATGGAGATGTTAAGCTAGTCACACTAGCTGGAGTGCACCACTAGTAACTGGTCTCTGGTTAGACTACATGCAAGTCATTACCAACCTCTGATCCCTGTGGCTCAGCCAATTTTCAGTCTGCTGCACTGTCTTTGTACACAGTCCATACTTCATCAGTTTGTCTGTGAGAATGTTATGGGAGACAGTGTTGAAAGTCTTGCTAAATTCAAGGTTAACATCTGCTTTGCCATTGATGCTCCTAGAGGGCTGTGCAAGAGATACAAAGTTTTGTCAAGAGTATGGTTAATAATTACTAGAAAAAAAGCTAACAAATTTTGACAAACAGTAATTAACAAAGTAGGTACCACAAAGCAGATACAAGACATAGATGACCTTGTGTCTTATGCATTATGTATAAAGCATTTCCTTAAAGGTATTTCTTAAAATTTAACAAAATTAAATTTAAGACAATGTGTTGTGTGCTTTCCTTTCACGAAACTCATGTTAAATTTGAACAGAACTTGTTTTCTTACTGTTCATCCTCACAGCCTGTCAGTTGGAATTCTTCACTGAGAGTGTAACTCATTTTGTCATATCAGGCTTCTTTTTTTGTCTGCCTCAGTAAAGTAGCAGCTGTGCTGATAGCTGTTTCAGTTGTTTGAAAAGTTTGCTAGATGTGTGTCTTCGGAGAAAGTCGTCCCCTTTGAGTTTTGCCTTTTCTAGTTTGGACTCATAAAGTCTTATGGCTGTTCATATTTTTCACTCTACTCCAATTTCTCCATGTTGTATGTATAGCACATTATTCTTGATTATTGTTTTGTAGTTTATGGAAGCGGTCCTTAGAAGTACATTATGTTTACGCTTGCTGAGCTTCTTTTCTTCTGTTTTTCTTTTTTTGTAATAAGAATTTGTCGTAAGACCTGCCTCTGATAGTCAGAATTGAGGTTTTACCTTCCTTGTGCTGTATAGCTCTGCTTCTGCTCAGAGTTCATACTAAGTTTATCACACCCATCCTGTAGTACTGCAGCATTACCGGACTTTGTCTCAGACATTCCCGTCTTTTCCTTGTTATAGTCTCATCTTTGTAGCTTCTTCCAGGATAACACATTTTCTAGTTGTTGTTATTTATAAAACAAAACCTCCAGCTTTCAATTTTCTGTTGTATGAGAGATGTTTAAATCCCCTCTGTTTGTGTTTGCCTTCCCTCGTTAAGTCTTAGCATCTTTGGACAGTGAAATCACCTTCCTGTACTTTCAGCCACTGTTTTGCAGATC